GCCCGGGCGTGCCTCAGGCGCTCAGCGCTGGCTGCATGCCGTGCAGGGGCGCTGGGGATGCGGCGGAGACCCTGCCCTTGCGGGGAAGACATTGTTCGAGGTGGATGACCTGGGGGCTTCCGATCACAAGGAAATCAAGCCTCGGCTCAGGTGGGGCCCCCAGGGGTGAGCTTTGAGCTGTGGCAAGAAGCAAGAGCAGCAGGTGGGAAGGCCCTGTGGTGCGAAGGAGTTGAATCTGGGAACAGAAGGAGCCCAGGACAGCGGGAGTGTGGCCAGGGTGGGCACAGTGTGGGCAGAGATGAGTTAGAAGAGGTAGGTGATCACGCAGGAAGCCATGAGGGAGCAGTTTGTGTTTTCTTCTGGGAGGCAGCTGGAGGTTTCTGGTCCTGGGGTGACGGGGCTTGATGTTTTTAAGACAGCTCTGGCCGCCGCTGGGTGAAGGATTCAGGGATGGGAGGCGGGTGCCGTGGCATGGCCCTGCCGTGGTGGTGGTGGAGGGAGGCTGGGCCTGGAGGGTTGGTAATGGAGGAAGAGGATCGGAGAATTGAGGGATGGAAGCAGGGGTGCTCCCTGTCAGATGGTGTGGGCAGGGGCTGCAGCAGGGTTGAGTGGGCAGGGCAGTGCTGGGTGGCCTGGTGGGCTCTTCACTGAGGTGGAGAGGGCAGGCGAGTCCCACCAGGGCCAGACTGGCATGTGCCCTGGCAGGTGAGCCTCTGCCGGGGACACGGTGTTGCCGAGGCTTGGTGGATGGGGCGGCGTGGGGCTACCAGGCCGTGCCTTTGCATGCAGAGGCTGGGGCACCTGACCTTTCTGAGCCTGGAGTGGGTGGGGATGCTGAGGAACCTGCCTGGTGCACGCACCCACTCTGCATTGCCAGGAAATGGAGTCTTGGGCCTGCGGCTGGGGCAGGACTGCCCTTGGACGGCGCGGGCTGGTGGTTTGGCTACATTTTTCTTTCTTACCTGACCACTCAGCAGGTTCCCCCTTGCGTGCGTGGCTTCGCGGGTGTGTGTGCCCCTCTGCCTCTCTTAGTCCCCACCTGCCTCCTTTGCAGGCCCCCCGGCATGGGCACTTGGGGTCAGAGCAGCAGCGAGGATTCCTTGTCTTCACCCCTCCCTCGTGGTTTCTGATGCTCCGAAGTCGGGCATCTCATCCTTGGCACTACGGACCTTTAGCGTGGCTTCGCTTTGTTGTGGGGGCGCCCTGGGCATTGTAGGAAGCAGTCAGCACCCCGGGCCTCCACCCCGAATGTCGGCAGCACCCTCACCCGTTTTCCTGGCTGTCTGTTGTGACAGCGGGGTCTGTCGCTAGGCAGTGTCCAGCAAGCCCTGGGGCACAGTTGTCCAGGTTGGGAATTGCTGTTCTAGTGGTGCTTCTAGGGCCGCACAGTGAGCTCTGGAGGTCAGCCTCTGTGGGACCAACTTGCAGATGAGGAAACTGGGCCTTGGAGGTTTTGAAACCTGTTTGATAACTCAGACAAGTGCAGGGTGAGGCGCAGCCCAAGGAGGGAGAGAAGCTACTGGAGCACAGCTCCTGCCTGGGGGGCTTCGTGGCTCCTTCCACCTTGACTTCCCCCGTGTTCTCCCTCCTGCTTGGGACCTGGAGGTGTGGCCCCTGCCATGCCTGCCTTTTATTTTGAGCCGAACCTGGGGCCCTAGACAGTTCTCGAAGGCATAGCTACCAACAGCAGACCTTGCTGTGTCACTCCCTTGCTCTGTGATGAGGCAAATTGCTCGCAGCTTCTCTGAGCCTCAGATTTCCTCTCTGGGAAATGGGCTAACACTAACATCTTTTTTGTGGCCTTGAAAATGCTTTGTAAGTTATCCCAGGCCCTTTACGTACAGAAAGATGAAAAGGTACGGACGTGCAGTGTCCCCAAGGGTCAGGAAACCGGAGAGCTCTCTTCCTCCCCAGCCTAGAAATTGCCCTTCCACGCTTGTGTTTGAGTGTCCCTGAGTGGGGCAGCTCCCTGGTGGCCAAGGCAGAGCTGTGGCCCCGATGATGTGGGGCATCGGGGACCCGATAGAAGTGACAGCAGCCCTGGAGCTGAGTGTGGCCGGAACCCAGCTGCCCCACGGCCCTATGCCCTATGTTCTGCGTTCCTGGCCTGGGCAGCAGTTCTTGAAGGCAGCTGTGGATCGGGGCCCTGGGGCCTGTTCATGCTGGTGCCTGGGCTGCATTGGCCTTTGCAGTTTGCATGGGATACACATTTTTTAGCAAATACTTGGGGGAAGGTGTCTGAGGCAGGGGCACCACTGCCCATGTTTGGAGAAGTGGGTTCAAAGCTTCCATGGCCTCCAACTAAGGAATTTTTGAGGTTCTGAGAGCTGGCTGAGGGGACACTGGTGATGCCAGGGACGGCCTGTTGGGCACAGCCCCAAGACAGTCCTTGCTGTGTCTCCACTCGCCCTTTTCTCGAGGGAGGCCTCTGAGACCCAGCTGGGGCCCCCCTCCTCCGCTGGCCAGAGCTCCTTTCTTTCTCAGTGGGGTCTGTGCCGCTCACCGGGCCTTTGTTCCGTCAGCACCGTGTGCCCAGTGCCTCCCACAGGCCTGGCCCTGGCAGGAAGCTGGGTGATGAGACAGAGCCCTCCCTCTGACAGAGCACGCTGTCCAGTGGGGGGTCGGGCAGCACAGGGAGGTCGCAGGCTGGCCTCCATGTGGGGTCCAGGAGCCTCACCAGGACAAGGGCTCCAGGCAGAGGCGTTGGCAGATCCCGGGCGCCCAGGTGAGGAGGATTCGAGGGATTGAGGTGCTGCGGGGTGTGGGCTGGCGCCAGTGTGGAGCTGAGTGTGCGGTGGAAGCCAGGGGTCAGCGGGCCAGCCGCCCTGTGGTGGGGCTGCCGCTGGAGGGTTGTGCAGAGAGGGTGCCGGCTCCCTCGTCCACTCCTCAGACGCTCGGACTGGCCCTTGCCTCCACTGTCGAGCCACAGTGCCATTCCCCCGCGGCCAGCTCTGTCTCATCATTAGGTCTCTGCAGGCATGCACTCCTTCAGGAAGCCACCTGGCCTCTTCCCTCATCTGCTGTCCACACATCATAGCCCTCTGCTGCCTTGACTTCCCTGGAGTCCCCCCAACTCTGGTTTATGAGTTGGTGCGTTTTGGTGCCTCTCCCCATCCTAGAAGCTAAGCCCCTCGAGAGCAGGGGCTGTGTGGTCAGATCCCTGCTGCATCCTGGCAGACAGATAAGAAGGGCATCACAGCTCGAGAGTCAGGATTTGAACCCAGGCCTAGCTCCTTGCAAGGTTCTTGTTCCCATGAAGGATGCAGGGTGGACGGCAGAGGCTTCAAACCTGGGAAAAAGAGAGGAGGCGCCGCTCCAGGGCGTCTGGACAGGTGCTGCGGAGGGCGGGCCGTGTGGGCTGCAGGTGTGGCTACAGCAGCCACTGCAGTGGCCCCACCTGGGAAAGTGAACAGCAGTGGAGAGGGTGGCGCCGTGGAGGGACTTCCCAGACACTTCCCAGACGGGGTGGGGCAGCAAGGGACCCTGGGGGCCCTCAGGCACAGGCCAGGTGTCCCTTAGGTGTTTGCCACCCATTGTGTGGGAAGAGCAGGGCCCCCGCACCCCTGTCATCTGGGTTTTCCTGGTTCCCACTGTTCTGTAGGGGCTACAGGATCCACTGAGCGCACGTGCCTTTGTGCTAGAAGCCAGGGCTCCTCTCTGACCCTGAGGGGACCCTGGCTCTGGGGAGGGAGCCTGTGTTTGCAGTGGCCTACGTGTTGCCAAAATGCGCTCCAGAAAGCTGCCCAGTTCCGTCCCTGCCAAGTGCAGGAAAATGCAGGGACAGATGTACTTTCCCCGGAGCCTCTTCCCTTGAGTGGGGGCCCCCCGCTTACAGGTGCAGAAGGAAGCTGAGGTTCCAGGTCGCTCCCTGCGGGCTTGGCCTACATCACTCAGGCGTGCAAGGCAGGGGAGATACTGCTGCCGGGCGTGCAGTGCCGTGCCCTGGCAGGGCCCCTCCATGCCTTGGGCTCTGCAGCAGCTTCTTATGCCGCTGAGGTGGGTGTTCTGTTTCAGATGGGAAACTGAGGCTCAGCTGCTTGCCCCGGGCCACCTAGCAGCTGGTTGGCAGAGCAGGCCCAGGCCAGGAGAGCTGCCTCCTTTAGCTTCTGTTTTCCCCGTGCTGAGGGCTGGACATGCTGTGTGCCTGGCTAGCCTACAGCAGGCAGGAAGTGGTGGTCTCGACGCGTTTCCACGGTGGCCTGCCTGGGTAGGGTTAAAAGCACAGCTCTGAGGCCGGCCGACTCCTGGCCCCTCCACCTCATCAGCTATGGGACCTTGGCCAAGTCACCTGGCCCCGTGTGTGAAATGGGCCTCACGATGGGAAGAGCAAGCCGATGGGTGATATGCTCAGTCACCGTACAGAGTGTGACGTTTCCGAGGGCTGCTAATGGCACCATCATCTCCATGGTCACTGCCATTGCGCTCCTTTGCTCCAGCATTCACGCAGTCAGTCTCACATCCTCACAGAGCTCTGTGGCAGGCCACAGTCTGCTGGCAGAGACAGAAGGAAGCCCCATGAGAGCGAGTGTTGGCGGGGGTGAAGGTGTGTACAGGAGTAGAGCATGCAGTGTCACTTGGTGGGTGTTGGGTGTCGGGGAGATGATCAGGGCTGGACTCCCAGACGTGTACCCTGGGCCTTCGCACAGGGCCCACATTTGATCTCATGCTCCGCTGTCATGTCTTCAAATCCTCAGATCATTTGAAAACAACCATCCAACGTTTTTGTTTCTGCATCAGCCCTGGGGGTGTGGGGTGTAGGGCTGGGGTGGGGAGTGCACTCTAGGAAGGGCCTCGCTGAAGAGGAGCAGTAGAGGGGAGGAGGGAGCCTGGTGGGTGGCGGGAACAGCCAGCACAAAGGTCCTGAGCCTGCAGCCGTCAGCCCAGAAATGATGAAAATCAAGGCTCAGGGTAGGGGCGGCACGCATCGTGGACCCCACCACCCGCCCAGCTGTACACCCGACCCCATTCCCGGCCCTGACCTGCAATGCTTGGCCCTACAGGCTGACCCCGCACTACATCTACCCGCCAGCCATCGTGCAGCCCAGCGTGGTGATCCCGGCTGCCCCCGTCCCGTCGCTGTCCTCGCCCTACATTGAGTACACGCCTGCCAGCCCGGCCTATGCCCAGTACCCACCGGCTGCCTACGACCAGTACCCATATGCTGCCTCGCCAGCTACGGCTGCCAGCTTCATGGGCTACAGCTACCCGGCCGCTGTGCCCCAGGCCCTCTCGGCTGCAGCCCCCGCAGGCACCACCTTCGTGCAGTACCAGGCGCCACAGCTGCAGCCTGACAGGATGCAGTGAGGGGCATTCCTGCCCCGAGAACTGTGGCATTGTCACCTTCACAGCAGACAGAGCTGCCAGGTCACAGTGGGCTGGCGGCAGCCTGGCTGAGCTTCAGTGAGGTGCCACCAGCACCCGTGCCTCCGAAGACCGCCCGGGCACTCTGCCTGCGCCCTGGGACCATGGAGAGACAGCTTCTCTTTAAATCTAGGTCCCATGGTGTCTTGAGGGAGGACTTGAAGAATGACTGAGAGCTATTTAAAGATGCAACCCCACGTTCCTTGCACACCACGGCAGCCTCTCCTTGCACCTTCTCCTGCCTCTCCACACTCCAGGTGCCCTCAGGCTTGTGTCCACCGCGGTACCTGGCTGGGGTGTCACGGACCCTCTGCAGCCCCTGGCCGCCCTGGACCCTGCAGAGATGCCTGACTCCAGGGAACCTGAGAGCAAGAAGTGAATGGACTTGATTGTAAGTTGACCCTCGCAAACTGTGAGTGCGGTCCCAGGTGGGGACACAGCCTCCTGCTGGAGTCCCATTTTCTCCATCAGGGCGCGTGGGTGGCTTCCTCAAGCCGGAGGAGCTCCCAGGCGTGCAGGGGCCGCTGGTGTCGGGCTGCCAGCCAAAGGCCCCTTTCAGTCAAAGCACTGAAGTCGCAACTTTTTTCTTGTAATTGTTTTGCTACTTAGATAATTTCAGAAGTTCAGTCTATTTTTTCAGCGGATACTGCCGCCACCAAGAATCCAAAACCTATTTTTGACTTGGAGAGACTTGCTTTTGTTGGTTCCGCCCACGGGGACGACGACAGTGTTTCTGTGTAATAAAGTGTCTGCCAGCTTGCGGGCCAGGAGCCTCTCAGTGGGGCAGGCACTGCAGACAGCAGGCCCCGCGGGCCCGCCCGCGCCAGTCTGATTCCACCTGCTTGGGCACAGTGAGTTGTCTCAGGACCCCCTCACTGTGACACTGATGCTCCTCCCCCCCAGCTCTCTAACCACTGTGGAAGGGCAAGGGAGTGACCCACAGGTTCAGTCCACTCAGGGTCTAGACCACGGTGGTGCCAGCTTTGTTGGGGCCCTGAGCTCTGCCTGCTGGGTGGTTGAATGCAGGAGGAGGCACCTCTTCCCTCTCCCCCTGTACCACCTGCTGTGTGCCAGCCCAAGACCGTTCCTGCCGTCTTTGGGTTAGTGAAGGGAGAAGGCTGTTCTGCCAGCCATGGCAGGGCTGCTATGGGGCATCCAGGGCTGTGGGGGTCCAAGGAGGGGTGCAAGGTGAGAGGTATCCTGGCCAAGGGCGGGGGGCAGCGCGGGGGGGGTCTCCCTCCGGACCTACCTCAGGGAGCTGAGCGTGCCGGCGCTCCAGGGCAGGCCTGGGACAGAGTCAAGGCCCAGAGAATAAAGGTAGCTAATCTCATAATAATATTTTTATTAGAATGTTCTGATGATAAAAATAAAACTTGTTTTCTTTAAAGAAAAAGTCAGTCTGTAATTTTTCTCTCGAAACACAGAGCTCCCCTGGTGCCTGTGGGTATCACCCATGCTCCGCCTCCTGGCTCAGGAGCCCAGAATTTCATGGGCAGCCGTGCCAGAGTGCCTGGCCTGCACCAGCCGCTGAGCCTCCGAAGCAGAACAGACGCAGCCCCTCTTCCCACCCGCTAATGCAGGGGAGGCCTGGCACCCCATCCACCGCGCATCGTCCACCGTCAGCCTCAGACCTGGAGAGGACTGCGCTTGGGTTACTTGGAGCTGTGGCTGGGGAGGGGCCTGGATATGGGATTGATTGGCAGCCCCACCACATAGATCCCGGTGGAATAGGACAGTTCCCCAAGAGACGGGGAGTTGCCACCAGAGGACCCTGAGTGTGGGCTCCTGAGGGGCCGATGGCAGCTGTCGAGGACGGCTGCCCTTAGGGCAGAGTTAGGAAGGGAGGGAAGCCTCACTCTGGGGCTGGAGAGGCCCAGCATCTAGAACTCAGCCCTGGGGAAATCACACCCCTTCATCGAGGAGGTGTTGGGGCTAGTGAGGATATTAACTCCTTCCTTCAATTGCTCACTCATCGAGTCATCCCAGGAAATGTGTGCTGGGTCACACGCAGAGCGCTGGGGATAGAGCAGACAGGGCTGCCCTTTGGGGTTTATCATCTGCTGGGGGAGACACCACAGTGTCACGGGGTGGAGACTGACAGGTTTCCGGGGAGGGGAGATGGAGATCCTGTAGGGGCTACGCTTCTTCCCAGGCCCCTCCCTCCGGCTGTCTCAGTTTGCAAACACTCATGAGGGTTCAGGGAGGTCAGCATGGGGCTTCCAGCCCAGAGGAGGAGACTTGCTGCAGCTGATAAGAACTTGGGGGGCCGAGGGGGGCTGCGGGTACTGCCAGAGTTATCGCAAAGGCCACTGGCGGCCTGCTTGCTTCCTGTCGCTATCAGCTGCTGGCAGCTTTGGGGACAGGCCTTCGGGAAGGCCTCAAGGCCTTGAAAACATCTCCTGGATCCCAGGATTGAAGACTGGATGGTGATGAAGCCAGGAGAGAGAAATTCTGTCGCCTGAGCTGAGTGGGAAGCGGGCTGGCTAAGGGCAGCTGCAATGCAGGGCGTGGCCACCAGCCCCAGCCGTGAGGGTCTTACTAACCCCAGCGCTACCCCTGTGGCCACTGACTCTGCGCCACATGCTGTGCCACGTGCTTTCATGGATGGTCAGTTACCCTCCAGGTATCCCACACCGGTGGACCAACATGCTTAGGGCTGGAGCCCACTTTCCTGGGCGGCCAGGAAATGTGGTGAGAGAGGCCTGCCTGGAGCTGAAGGGTGCGGGCCTGATGGAGGTGGCGGGGTGTGCCTGATGGAGGTGGCAGGCTCAGCCCAGCCAGACCGGCCCCGGCCTTGAGCCTTATTGTGCAAGAGGGTCATGCATGTCCTCCCAAGGCAGGGACCTTCTGTCCTACCCGCTGTGTTCCTCTGGTGCCCAGAGGGCCAGATATGCACACACGCATGCACAGGTATGTTTGTGTATATGTACATGTTAACACACATCTCTGCCCCCATACACACTCATAGACACACACCGTTACAGGCATAACTGCATACACATCTACACACAGACACGCATCCACAGATACACAAACACAAACATGTATGTGCCATACACAGACTCCCGTGGTATTGAGGGATACACGCACACAGAGAAACACACACTCGGACATTCTCAGACACACCATCACACTTACACATGTACGCACCCTGGCTCACACAGCACATGCACATATGCACACGGAAACGCTTGCACACATAGCTACCCTTCCAAGGCACACACAGACGTGCACGCACATACATGTGGAGACAGACACCTGCACACCCCCATGTACCGACACAGATAACATACATGTGCACCCAGACACACGCACGTGCATGTTGAGTGACAGTACAGGACCCACCCCCATTGTTTGGCTCGGGGCAGCAGCTATCGCTTTGAGGGTTCAGTGACTTGCGGGAGAGGGAGGTGGAGCAGGTCCCGGCCCGAGGGCTCGGAGGGAGAAGGGATGGGAGGTGAGGGAGGTGCCAGGCCTGGCCACTCACCTGGCTGGGTGGCAGATGCTGGCTGCCAGCGTCCTTCAGCGCAAGGGAAGGCTTCTCACTGCCAGCCCTCCAGCCCAAGAGGGTTTTCTGTCTGGACATCGGCCTGGGCTCTGCCAGTGCACAGGCGAGCAGGAAGGCCAGGGAGCTGACACCCTCGGGCAGCCCTCAGCAGGCTGCCAGGGAGTTAGGGGATAGACGCCCCTCCCTCGCCACCCTCGGCGGTCACTCTGGGGTGCCCTGAGTCCGTGGCTTCCCCTTCTCTTCACTCATCCTCCATCCCCTGCTGTGCCTCCTGGGGTCACCTGAAGCTGCTGCCTTTGGGGTTTGCACACCAAGCTGGGACGGCCCAATGACAGCAGCATGGGCCGGGCACTCACTGCCCCCAGGAGTTGGGTGCCCAAGTCCTGTGAGGCCTGGATAAGCTCCTGCTTTCCCCTCTTCAAGGAGATGACAAGGCCCAGAGAGCCTCAGCAGTGCGACCGGGGTCACCTCACCAGCCGGCTTTGCCCACAGGTCAGACCACCTCCAAGCTGTTACCTTCCAAGCGGGCAGGACCAGGCCCGGGCGGCAGTGGCAGAGCGAGACTTCTGGGGCACGTGGCTGCTGTGAGCCAGCTGGGGGCCGGGAGAGGCAGGCAGGATCCAGAGGGTCCTGAGACCCCACCCCGTCCCATGGCATTGGTTTGCAGACTTCTTGCTGGGGAGGGGCAGTGGGGGGTGAGAGGTGCTTCCCTTAGTGATCAGAGCCCCATTTTCACCCCACTTTCCAGTTGAGCAAACTGAGGCCCAGAGAGGAAAAAAGGCCTCTCCGAGACCATTGGGCTGTCACTCCCTTCTGAGGGTGTAATCGCAGAGGGACTGGACTAGGACAAGCTGTGAGAGCCACAGCCACTGCGGCCCACAGGAAGAAGCCACACCATGGTGAGGTCACCTCCATGTCAGCCCCGGTTTGCTCTGCTCTGCCCACTCTGCCCGATGGGGGGCTTGCCTGGGTGCCACCCTCTCTGAACCTCACTTCCTCTCCTGCATGCATTGAGCTGACCCCTGGGTAGCCCCACCAGTCCTGCCTGCCCAGCATCCACTCCTTTCCTGGGACAGCACCTGGGTTTCCTTGAGAAGCTGCCCCTGCACCATCCTCAGGCTGGGTAGTTCAAAGGAGCCACCCTCACCCCTCACTCCGCAGCTCAGTCAGCATATTCTACTCCCCTGGACCCCGTGAATGGTTCAGGGATAGGTGTGTGACCCTGTGTGGGTCCATGGGAGTCCACTGGAACTCCTAGGGCAGGAAAGCTGTCTCTCTGTTGAGGAAGCCAAGCTGGGAGCAGACAAGCCTGGAGCAGAGAGGAGTTTGTGCTTATGGAGAGACTGCCTGAGAAGGAAGCCAGCCCAGGAGAAAGGAGAGCCAAGGAAGGAGACAGGAGAAGAGATTGGGTCTTGGGGACATTTTTGGGGCCCCTTGATCCAGCTATGCCTGAAGCTAGACCCTGGACTTTTTTTATTTGAGAGCTAATACATTCCCCCTTTTATTTAAGCCTATTTGATTTGATTTTTTTTTCCTTTGCAACCAAGACTCTTGGCATATACAACCTCAAAGGACTGGCATTACTTAGAACTAGGTTCAGTGACATGCAATAGAAAATCTAAAATTAGGGCGGTTCTTAGCTACCTGTCATTTATTTATTTTTCTCACGTAAAGGAAGTCTGAAGCAGGCAGTCCAGGGCTTGGATCACAGCTCCACAGTCATCAGGGGCTTAGGCCTCTTCCATCATCCTAGTGAAACATTTCAAAGCATGGCTTCCTTTCTTAAGACCATCTTAGGGACCAAGATGGCTGCTGGAGTGCCAGCCATCATGTTCAAGTCCAGGCAGCAGAAGAAAGGAAGGGGAAGGCTGGAGTATCTCAAGTTGAGACTTCTCCAGGAGCCTTCCCAGAAGTTGTATGCAACATTCCTCTTCCATTTCATTGGCCAGGCTTAGTCACATGGCCACACTTAACCACAAGGGTGGGTGGGGAATGTCGGTGTTTAGCTGGTCACATAGCTACTTGGAACACAGAAAGCCTTCTGCTAAGGAGGAAGACGCAGGAATGTCTTTGTGCAGACAATGTGCAGTTTCTGCCTCAGGTCCTTCCAGTAGTAAGGCTCTGAGTCCATGAGAGTAATGTCCCATTCACAAGGCACTTTAGGGAGACTGGAATTGACCACGCCTGTCTTTACCTTCACACCAGTGGGGTGAGCCAGGCCTATCCTTATGCTCTTTCCACCCAGGGGGAAATTGAGGCTCAGAGTGCGCACTGAACATGGCCGAGGTTGCCTGTTCCTTAGGGGCAGCTCCAGGAGGACAGCTCGAGCTTCTGCCTCAGTGAGTGTTGGGAGTTTGGCGTACAGCTCTCATTAGACACGGCTGCTCACGTTCCTGCAGGACCGGAGGCCCACAGTGCCTTCGCATCCGTGGTCCTTGAGCGGGGAGCTAGGGCTGGGGCCACCAAGAGGTGCCCTCTGATGTGCTCCAGCATGCTGGCCCTGTTCCTTCTCCTTAGCATCCTCCCACAGGGAGTGGAGTCATGGTTCCATTTTGCAGAGGGGAAGACCCGGGCTCAGAGCGGGGAGGTGGCCTGGTGAGGAGTAGCTGACCCATCACGCTTCGGGCCTGGGCCGGTCTGCCTCCGAGGCCTGTGTTGTTGGCTTTGGCTATGTGGCCTCTGGAGCTTCAGTGGAACACCCTGACTTGGGCTCAGTCCTGTCCCCTAAGCCCCACCCATGCCTCCTTTGGGCTGTAGACCCCCAGCCTGGGCCGGCTGCGGGCAGAGCCAACAAGGTGCGGTGGGAGGGGCTGGATGCTCAGGCCACCTCAGGGGATGGACTGAGCCACCGTTACGTCACTTAGAAATGGGTTAATAACCAAGGT